GGAAAGCTTTGTTTGTTTTTTAACATATAATCTACACACACAAAAAATGCATTCATGGTGGTGTGGTAACGTTAAAATGTTTTGCTAAAGGCCCCCCAAAAAGAAGCAAACGAAAATAAGCTTGTATAGTGGTAGAGCTTACGAGTCCCTCTCGTATTTCTTTTTACAATTCATCTTATCCTAAATTTCCTCTTTTTTTTCATTCGGTTCCAAGTTTTTATCTTGACTAATCCGGAACGACTCGCGTCACACACCTGATTTTGGTGAGTGATTCTCCCGGCAAGTATTTTCTGAATACACAAAGACTCGAACTCGAAGCATTGCCTAAGCGATATTAAGCTACTTACCACTTCAACAAATTTCAGTCGGTTAAATATCTTTTTCCCATACTTTATTTTTCTTTTAAAGTCGGTCCATATATGTTTGTTCATTAAGCTTAATTTATGATTTGAAAGTTTGTTTTATGTCATTGACAAATGATCAGCTAACTAATCTATATTGGGCCTCAATATGTATTGATTGGTTGGGAGGCTAAGTTGAAGTTGAAAGGCAATTAATTAATGTTCAAAAATATTATTCTAACAAATTTCTTTGGAACTTTAGTTGTCTTCGGCCCTTTGATTATTATAAATAATAGGCTTAAAAAAAGTCTTATTTTAAATAAAAAAAAATCAACAGACCCCTTTCTAAAATACATTTAAAATAACTTATATTTTTTAAATTCATCATATAAATATTTCAACGTAGTAGTTTAGGGTTTTCTTTTAAGAATAGTAATATGGACATAGCTAATATGAACATATTTCGAAAATTTGTAATTGAACTGAAAAGTGCAAGAGATTGACAATGTACACTGAATTATTGAGGTGCCTAAGCTAAAAATTCACGACACAAGGATTCGAACCAGTGAAAGAATAGGTGAAGAGCTTTGACATACAATACACTAGAATCATGCATTAGAATGGACGAAAAATAAGCAACTCATTTCGATACCCTCCAGCTCAAGTCAAGGGAAGCCTCCACTTCCGATGCCAGTAAATCGATACCCTTGGCCATGATGGAAATCCTAAGTTGAACTCAAGGGGCCGATCAGGAAGGCCGCCAACTATTAAAGGTAGCCACACGTACCTCGAGTCCCTCAACTCAGCTGGATTCCACCGATCCGCCATAAAAATATACGAACCTGGGATGCCCGGCAGAGGAATCACAAATGTACTCTGTGCCAAAAAAGTTGCGAGTCGAAACATTTTGTTCCCTCCAATGCACGGGTTTCCTATTGTCTCCCATGTCCCCATGATCGACTCAGCTGCATGCGCCAGTGCTTCATTCGGTGCCCATCCAGAGCAACCCGATGTGAACATATAGTAAGTCCCTTGGTACTTAAAAAGAGCTGGGGCTTCCCGGCGTTGTCCAACCATAATCCTCTACATTTTAGGTTGCACATCTAGATAATCAGGTCCAATGTGAAGTTCACTACTGTTCTGAGATGAATAAATTAGATATGCTACACCATCGTCGTCCTTGAATAAGGTCATGTCCCTGCTGTCAAATCCATGGGGCCTTTGGCTGCGGAGATACTCAAAAGGACCTGTTGGGTGATCGCTGAAAGCAATGCCGACAGCAGCTTTAGTGTAGTTGGCATCGTCAATATGCATCCACATTACATACTTACCTGTCCTCTCATTGCAAACAACTTTCGGCCGCTCCAACACATTGGATTTGTGGAGATCATGGGCTTCATTTGTCTGTTCTGCAGCCAACACAATACCTTGGTTTTTCCACTTCCACAAATCCTTGGAAGAACAGCAACCAACTCCTATAACGTCAACCTGATTAAAAAAAATTCAAAGGGCACTTCTTATAACTAAAGATTTAGGCATGCAGTCAAATTTCAAGCCTGAAGGATGAGATAGGTGCTAAAAATGAGTTAGATATGCAATCAAATGTCATGTATCTCAAGCATCACTTCAACTTACAAAGAGATTGATAAAGACGACAGCTATGCTGCCTCACAATTCATGCTTTAAGTTCAGTTAGAGACAATGGAGTGGCATCATCAACCAAGAAACTGATCAAACGCCCACGAAAAGCAATTGAATCGGATGCCTATCATTCTAAATACAAAGCACTTCATAGTTTTACAACTTGCATTTAGGCTGTCCCTAGGAGTTTAGTACCTCTAATTTCTAAAACAGAATTTATACAAGCCAACCAAGGCCAATATACCCTTCACATTTTAGGTGGCCTTTATAAGTGAAATTATAAATCATTTATGTAATTCACCATCTTTTTCTCAGAGTTTTCTTCTACTGGATCTGTCTCGCCCTTTCATAATCACTAAAATCCTCAAAGTACTTATTCTCACAAAACAAATCTTACATCTTTTTTCTCTTTGTTTTATGAATACAAGCAATAATATATTCTTTACTGAGAGAGACAATATAATAGATTTGGATTATTTAATCTAAACAATAAACTTACTCGTGCTGCACCCTTCTTATGTGCACGGTAGGTGGGTCCATCTTTATATTCTCCATACCAATAGTATGTAGCGGATCTTTCATCATATAGTATACCACCTCCATGAGCTTGAAAAGGATTGCCTTCGGTATCCAACCAAAATTTCCCTGGATGGTAGTAGTGGCTTTCATTTCCTGCTGCCTTCACAGGATCTATAGCAGTTTTCATATCCGGAAAGAATACATGCCGAAGCTGGGAATTCTCATCAAGGAATTCATTAACCAGGGCAGTATTTCGCTTGTGTCTCCATTTAGACGCAGGTGGAGATCGTTTCTTCCTAGGAGGGGGGACTTGAATATTCTCCTCTTCCACCTGTTCAAGTTCCCGGACTAGTGGATGACGACTCACACGCAATTGAATATCCCCTTTCACTGCACCTCTGTGAGTAGCAAGAGAGTAGAGTTGGAGCATAAAAAGGAACCCCACCAAGCTCAACACCACAGCAGACTTCGAGCATCTGTACCCAGCATCGCAAAGGAAAGCAATTGGTTTCCTGTATTTGTTTTGTTCCTCACCCCCCATATTCCCTTTCTTTCATCTCCCAGATAATGCAGCAATTACGAAAAATGCAACACACAGAGATCCAAAACATTTGGACCAAATATGAATTACAACCATACTCATCTTCCCTTATCTCTTTAATCCATCAAAAAGTACAACAAACTCCAAAACAATACTATCGATTGGCTAGAATAGATTGAGAATCAACAGCAGCCGAGTGCAGAACATTGTCAAAACGCAATCCTTTAGGATTGGAATAGACAATTATCAACTCCTAATCCGAAAAGAAACGGCATCAACTTGAAATAACATGTGTACATTAGCATCACGTTTACCATCCTTTCAACATGCACCATACACTAATCTTAAAACACCATTGATACTGTTTGACAAAATAGACAAGCAACATATTTAAGTTTGGTATCAAATATCAATGCACACAACACAAGACTATTACATCGTTATCAGCTCAGAAATTATTAAACTTTCAAATAATCAACTTCAAATATAAGCTCCAAAACCCAAAGCAGATCCACAGAACACGCAAAAAAAATGAACTTAGCAGAGAAATTTTAATACCCAGACAAAGAAGAAAACTGACCTGAAAAAAGTCTTGGAAGATTCCCAGTCCCAGATATGGCATCTCTATTTTATTGGTTGTGTGGATTTGATTATATGTTTTCATATCTACCTTTCAAGTAATAATAAGAATGAGACATGCTTTTTTTTATATGTAATGAGCGGTAGTTTTGTTGTATCGCAACCTGGTTTAAGAACAAGATACAGAAAATAAACGTAATTAAAAATATTAAAAAAATAAAATTATTTTTAGTTGATTACAATCTAAAATATTAATTTTTTTAATTTTTTTAAACCGAAATTATTATAAAGAATGTACTATTTTTTTATATAACTGAAAATGTAAGAAAAAGATCAACATTTTAAATTAAGTCCAACAAAAAAAAATCATATTTTTATAACATTTTTTTGTTACACTTATAATCTATCGTTTCTTAAGTTGTCATTCTTTAGACTCTTGCATGCAATTAGAACCTTTACTATTTTATAATTGTTAAGATCTCTATGCATTCAATGACACGAAGAATTTTACGGTACAACCACTTATTTATTATAAGGCTAATATAACATATGACTTAAAATATTATAAAATATTATTTTTTTCTTACTTTTTTTCGGTTGTAAACATATTTTAAGTTGTAATCTAAAATATAAAAAAAATATGATCTTTTAGATTCGAGCAATTTAAAATATTATATTGTTTATAATATTTTAGATCACGTTTTTATAATATTTTAGATCACGTCTTTCCTTAATCTTATATTAGGGTACCGCACCCCATAACACCTCAAATGACACAACAAAAATTGAAAACTTTGAAGATTTTAGAGGCTAAGATCTAGAAGCTGTTTAATTTTGCTTTATTTATGAAATGTTATTATTTTAAATATTTTTACTAAAATAAAATTCAAATAATATTGTATAAATTAAAAAATTTAATGGTTGAAAATTTTGTTATTTTCTCTTGACGATTTGGAATTAAGTATCATATACAAAGATAAGACATTTATTGTCCAAATTTTGAATAATTATTATATTGTAAAATTGTATTCACTCCAGATTTATAAAAAAAATTAAATAATACTACATAAGAGAAAATGGATGTCTGATGTCGTTCTCTCTTTCTCATTTTCCCCTTTAACGATGTTTTCCTTCTTGTCATTTTTGGTTTTATTGGTAGACAACGATATTAATTTAGTGGTGGTTGTTGATTATCAGTTTTATTTACTTTTTTTATTTTTATATCGTATTTATGCTTTTTATTTATTTTTATTTTTTAATAACTCTACTTTTATAATATATTTTTTTCTTTGTCTCTATGGCATGCTTCTCACTATCTTTTGTCATGTTTTTTTTTTATCGATTGTTTGGTAGTTTTTTTTTATAATAACTCTACTTCAGAATGCTGGAAAAACCTCATTAGTAAATGTTGTCGCGGTAAGTAAATTAAAATCTCACTTGTAAATGCGGTCGCAACGTATGCAGGGTCCATTACTAGCTATCTAAGCACATGTTTCTTTATCGTATTCTCTGAATTGACTTTAAGTTGGTTGCTTGCCCTTTTTCCCCAGACTGGTGGATATAGTGAAGACATGATCCCTACGGTGAGTCGTATAATCTAAGTGGATTTTTGTTAATTTTGTGAACTGCAATGCTGTTACATTCCAATGCTTTTGTAGTCCTTTTCTCTCCGTCATCCGAATGGCTTCTTTTCAGGTTGGATTCAACATGAGGAAAGTGACAAAAGGAAATGTTACCATAAAGTTATGGGATCTTGGAGGCCAACCTAGGTTTCGTAGCATGTGGGAACGATACTGCCGTGCAGTATCTGCAATTGTGTAAGAAACGACTACTTCATTTTCATAGACTCGTCCTATGCAATAACTTTCTTTTTGATAATTCCGGGCCATATCTGCATTGGTAGTGAGTATTTCAAAGCTGTCTTGTTAATTTTATCCAAAAAGACTAGTCCATGTCTGTTTAGGGCAATGTCTTTGAAAACCGTAGCTAACGAACTGAAGGCATCTATTCTACTTGGTATTAGAAAGGTTTATACTTGATGCAAAAAGGTTATATAGCCTAGAGATATGTGCAAGAATTATCATATATAGTTTTTGCAGTATTTGATTGGCCTTCAGCCGCTTACCATTGTACTTTCTGCTTCTCAAATCGTGAAACCGAATACCGCCCTTAGTCATAGAATTGCATCCACTGTTTTGTATATCTACTAGAATAAACCTGATTTTGTCGCAGTTATGTAGTGGATGCTGCTGATCCCGATAACCTGAGCATCTCAAGAAGTGAGCTTCATGATTTGTTAAGCAAACCCTCGCTTAGTGGCATACCTCTTCTGGTGCTAGGCAACAAAATTGACAAGCCAGGAGCTCTATCAAGACCGGCTTTAACTGAAGAAATGTAAGTGTCATTCAATTTGCTTGATTAACTAGACATTACAGAATTGCAAGTATTTCTGCTTTGCTTAAAAAGTAAAAAAAACTTTCTCCTAACATGTGACATTTCTATTGCAGGGGCCTCAAGTCAATTACCAATAGAGAAGTTTGCTGCTTCATGATATCTTGCAAGAATTCAACCAACATTGACTCGGTTATTGATTGGCTTGTAAAGCATTCAAAATCTAAGAACTGAAAAGAGGGTTCTCTTTGATTTATCTTGTGATGAACCTGTGTTTTATAATTTGTGTTTCCGAAAGGGATAAAATTCATGTTTGAGAATTTTGGCTTTTGGGTTTCCCCTAACTTGATCTTCCGGCTGTTGAATTATTGTCTTCTCAACGTGTACTGTACATTCGATCATCACATGTGTAATTCAAGTAAGATTATCTCTCTCGTAATTCATAGCGATTGAACGAGTTGAACAAAAGTTTATCAAATTGATTCCAACTCCATTCTTTGAACAAGTAAGAGGCAGTGTGAGAAGTTCATTGAGGTGGCCATTAGCCAACAATAACACAACATTGCCAGAAACACAAACGTGCAAAACTGTAGTTCAATTTATTCAGATGGACTTTCAATAAAATAACAGATAATATCTCAAAAGTGCCATCACAATGCCATCTCTATTTCTTTTGCCATATCTATATACCCTCTACTTCAAGATAAAGCTATAGAATCACAAAAACCGCTAAGCTTCTCAGAAAATGTTCGTCCAAAAAGAAGCACAACTTCATGGATTGATCTCACATTTTCTTCTTTACAAGCCTAATATATTTACAGTAATAGACATGATTCATAGTTGATATACCAGGCCAGTAAGATGTCAAGTCTGATGCAAGGTTCCAGCAACGAGCTAAGACGAAATGGTGTCCTTCTACACCATCTGCACAAGTTTGCGACTGATATCAATAAGATAAAAAAGCAAAAAAAAACCACTAGAGGGGCATAAATCCTAAACAATTACATGTCACAATAGAGCTGTATTATTTGAGACCAAAGACAAAACTCACCCAAAAAAAGTAATGCATTGTAGTTGTGAATAGCTATCTTTCCTAAATTGTTGTTTCAGAAACTTTTCAACCATGGAGGAGAAGAAAAGATTAAAGTAGTCTCATAAATATAAGTAAAATAAAATTTGTTTAGCTGATGTCAAGTTGCTGTGGTAAAGCTTTGTTGATTGACAGATCTGCAGTTTCAGGGCGTAAATATCACGAGTATGACTAGCTGTACTCTTGGTTAAGATCCAGCCCTCTAAAACAACCAACACGAGCATCCTCTGAGAAACCCTGTGTTACCAGATCTATGTACATTGTTCAATGAAAGAATATATAAGAACAAGGATTTACCAGGTAACCAGCATCCTAGACTTCAATGCTTTAGCTGCCGCTTTAGCAAAGATTTTTGCTGCTTCAGCTTCAGCTTCTGCGGCCTCTGCCTCTCTTGCTGCCTTTTCAGCCTCGGCAATAGCAACTTCTGCCTCTGCAACTGCTCTTGCGGCAGCTGCAGCAGCCTCTTCTGCAGTCATGCTCTTCATTTTTGATAACTCTGCATCAACTTGGGTTTTAGTAAGAATGTTGTTGATGCCTTTCTTCTCTGCTTTTGTAGAATCCTTCTGCCTTCCTTCCAAAGCAAGCAGAGGAGTTCTTCTTGCTTCAGAAATAGTTGAATGTGGTGCAATCCTATACTTATGCTTTACCTATCAATATATGCACATCATAAAGATGAATCACTCCCAACTTATGAACATTCAACTTAAACCTTCTTTACAAACATGCTAATAACTCTCCAAAAGTACATCAGGAAAACCAACATAATATTTCACACAATTCATAAAGAAGAAAAGTATTGATGCCATTGTATCCATTATGCAACTAGTATGCAACCTTTCTACGTTTCTTTCTTTAAATCCAATATTGCAAGAGTTCCGTGTGACACAAGTAGACTCAATATCATTTTCGGAAACATTAACGGCTTTAAATTATTACCTAATATAAAGACTTTTATAGACCCTAGAACACTAATGTGGAATTTAACTTTTCTGGCATCAAGCTACATCATAGGCTAAATATTATATATATATGGAAGATAATACTATTATAAAATAGTCACACAAACAATTAACAGTGTAACTACCTTTGTCAATGTCCCATTTGCTACCAGCAGCTTTAGTTTTGTAACCAAAAGCTTCTTGAGGTTTGACTGTGCAGCATATTTCTCCTAAAATGTCAAAAAAAAAACAAACTCAATTTCGTTTTAGTGAAGTCTTTTGCAACAATTTCTGAGCTGAGATTCATGTTTAAATGATTGAAAATAGAATGTCCAATAAATAAGGAGAAACAGAAACCCCAAGTTCCACACTCACTTGAGAACAAGGCATAAAGAAAATTGTTGTCACATAAAGCCATTAAAAATAGAAAAGGCCTTGTTCAAGTATTTAGGATTTACACCGATCCAAGAAAGAGAAGTACCTCGATGTATGAAGCAATTGAAGCTCTGTCAGAACCACCAGGCTCCCTCAAACTAGTGATAGCCTCTAATAAAATGTTTTCCAACCTACAAGCATTGAGAGGACAGCAGGATTCGTTATGTATGTACAAATCAGAAAAGTAAGGCTCTCAACACAAGATTGTTTTGACCATCAATGACCAAAGGTCGTATAATTTTAGTTTTCAACAGCTAAAAATAACTGATCTAAATCCTAATATAAGGAACTAATCAAATATTTGCATTTAGAGCCATTTTGAACTGAATCAACCTTGGAAATGTCTTACCTTCTGCTTCTTTTCATGTTCTAATATCTGGCAGACAGGAACTCAAATACTGGCGTTTAAGTAGAAGTATGTTTATATTGATATAAGAGAATACATAAAAATAACCTTGAAATTGATTTTCTGGAGCCAGTTGCCCTTGGTGTTCCACTAGAAATGGCAAGGGGCTTAGGATCAACAATTTCTTCACTCGGAGGTACAGTAATAAGCGCCATGTGGTTATCATCATGTTTAGCAGCCATCTGATTTCTTTTAAGAGCAAGCTTGGCCTTCTGCCTTGACCCCCATACGGCCGTGGCATTTATATTTCTCCATTTGTCCTGGTCATATTAACACTTTACACATTATTTCACCTCTATTCGTTACAGAACAATGGCAAATAAAATGTGCATTCAACTCATGTTCGGAAGTTTCAGATGCAATTAATAAAGGCACTGTCCAAACACAGCAAATTTAGGTCATTAAACCAGAAAACATCAAAACTTTTATTGTGATGATGATTGATGAATCCTACTCGAATCTCAGCTACATACCTTGAGATCCACATTTGAGCGCGAACGCAGGACCGAACTAAACTCAGGATCTGAAAGTATATTGCGCCATTTTCCAGTTCCATGTTTGAGAACTCCTGCCTTGAGGGCGGCTTCCTCTTCTGCTGTCCATTTCTGCTTAGGGGCACCCATCAACAAATTCCTGAAACCCCCAATATATGAAAATATATAAACATTTCAAACTGAAAAGATCAATCACCAATACAAATCAATTGTATATGCTTTCGTGCCTATTCATAAAGTTTTTGAATCGAACAAAAGATAGGTGCTAAAAAATGTATGTAACCGTTTGAGGCCGCAATCTCTCATTAACACGACACCTAGACATTCCTAGAAAGATATTTTTGCTGACATTTTGCTATAAATTGATCTCAGACTGCAATTCTCAACCATTCTGAAATTCATATGTTGCAAATTTCAGAATTTTACCAAAAAGAGAGGTAAAATACAGAAAATCAGAAGCAAAAACAGAAAATATCCTAAATACAATCAAGTTTGAAAAATCTAGACAAAAATTTACAAAATTAAACTCGTTCTTAAGCATAAAACAAAAGTTCCAAGTTTCCATTTCTCTTAACTCAAATTATACATGAATTTAGACTCAACCCATCACAGCATGTAATCACAGCTAATAAACGATAGCACACTCAAAATCTTTAACTTCCCGGCAACCTCCAATAAAAAGCATATCCTGAAATATACAAATTGTGAATGTTTAAAATTCCCATAGATTGCATTCCTTTTGTTTCGTCTCTACGAGAACAACGTCAACAAAAACGAAGCAGAAAGAAATCAGATTGAGCATTTTCATCACGAGCTCATAATTTGATGAAATTCATCAAGGATCGATTTTTCTTGAGAATTCCGAAAAAGATAAAAAAAAAAAAAACTTTTTACATCAAGCACTGAATTCTACAAAGTTAAAGCGAATAATTTACGAGGAAATTGAAGATTAAAAATGGAGTACCTGATCGGAGAAACGCAGGAAGGGAGGAAGAGATCACGCGCGGAGTATCGGATTTTTGTTACGAAATTATTTCTTACAAAACAAGGGAGTGAATAAGAAGAAGAAAAAAATGTAAGAGAGATTGCTTTAATTTTATGTCCGCAAGAATATTTAAATGGAAATGTTTTTTTTTTCACTTCTACTTAATGCTATTTATTATTTCTATTTTATGGGGAGTATTTATTTTATTTTATTTGCAAATTTGGCTTTCTGAAATCTACTGCAGCTTTATTATTCTAGTTTTGACTTTACAACTCCTGCTTTTATATAGTGTTTACTTTTCTCATATTTTTTTATTAATTTTATTAAAGTACTATATATTTATATTAAGTTATTAACTTTTAAAAACTAGTCATTTATTTTGTATGAAGTTTAATATATATATATATATTCATATCGGATGATTCTTGTGCACTCAACAAGCGGTGATGAGCATCAATAACGACGAACATCAATAAATTAAATTGTAAAACGTTAAAAATATAAGTTACTCAACGTATAATTATATTTTATTTTAAAAGGTAATCGTAATTTTAAATAAATCATAATTTTAATTTAATTATTTTTTAAAATATTTTTTTATAATTAGTTCAGATAGTAACCCCAATTTAGAAAATCTTATTTTTTTAAAAATAAGCTTTGATTCTCTCATCGCAGCCGCCCACAGCGTTGTCATCATCGCCGCCATCGGTTTCATCTTCCTCCTTCGATTGAATCGTTGTCGTCACCGTTGTTTGCGCAAACAACCCGTTAAGGTAAGCTAGATTACTTTTATTTTGATTTAAATTTTTTCGCCCAAGCCGTTACCGGAGGGTGGTGGCTGACCGGCTGTCGACGCCTTCACCGACAGTGGTCGTAGTTGTCGGTGTAAGACTTCCCTCTCTAATTATTTTCCCCCAATCCCATATTTCCTAAACCCTAACCCTAACCCTAATTTTAAAATTCCTCCCATTATATAACCTAAATTCCTTAATTGATTTCCAAACTTCCCTTTATAAAACCCCAATTTGAACAATTAATCCTTCATTTTCTCGTTGAAACCGATTTATTTCAATCCAATTCCCAATTTGAAATTTGTGTAGCGCGTACTGTACACCGACAATGTATAACGGTACTCGGGCGACAGAGTATCGGTACCTTGTATGTATCGGTACCTTAATTATGAGCTATTTTTAAATTAAACGTCGTGTACCAATACACTCAGGCTGTGTATCGGTACGGTACAGTACATATGATTCAAATGATTTGACTTATAATTTATTTTGTAACCGTAGATGATGGATCTAAACTTAACACCCTCAAAACAAGTTAAGATGATGAAGTATAAGCGTCGTATCGACATGAGTTCAAAGAAGACCAATAACGAGGTACATTCATTATAAGTAACTGAATTTTTAATATTACATTGCATTTGTTTTTTCGGTGTATTTTTTTTAAGATCATTGTTTTATTTTTTATATGTTTTATATACAAATAGGAAACCCTAAAGTTGTTCATGAGAAAAAAATTAGAATTTCTTGTCTGAGTGATCATAAGTTCGAGACTCATTCATTTGGTGCAAAAAATTGAAAAGGAATTTGCTATAATGCATGGCCAGTTTGAAAATTTAAAAAGACAATTTGAAATATTAAATGACCAATTTGGGAAATTAATAAGCATATTAACACCTAGTAATTTTAAAAGTTCAATATATTATGGTGATTCAGTAAATGGAGAACGTATGTGTAGTCAATCATTAAAGGAGGATGCTTTAAATAATAGATCAGAAGTGACGAATTTGCATTACATTCCATTGAAATATAAGAGTTTTAAAAATAAATTAGACATGGAAGAAGGATTAAGTGTCGCACCATTGAAGGATCAAATAGATAGTGGTTTTAAAAAATAGAGTTTGTCTCCATTTATTAATTGTGATTGTAATTATCCTTCTCCCTCATTAGATTGTAGTGGCAAAAGGAAACTTGATGTTAACTCTGAAGACAACAACAAGACTGATAGTGAATGTTTTCCAAAAATTTCAGTGGAGATTTTTAACTTTCAATTTAGTCTCAATCGATTTCCTAGTCAATTATTTACGTTGAAGGAAACTCCAGTGGTTAAAAAAGTTAGTCCTAAAATGTCTAACGGTCATACGACTTTTACAAAGATGAATGGGTCTCAACAGAGAAAAAATATAAGGTGTTCGATCGCACGATTAGATTTTACTGATGATCCAAAATCGAAAGATGTGGCATCGAAAAAAAGAGCTAGAACATCTAAAGCGAATACCAAGGTGTGTAATCATTCTTTTTGTATATATTTCATGTTAAAGTTTGAGTTTAATGTTGTAAAAATGTTTGTAAGAGATATGTCTTTCATGCAGTATAAATATATATAAGCCATGTGATTTGTCAGCAGAACGTTCTAAAAAAACCGCGACGATAAGTGATGCATATATGCAATATTTGGAGTTTTTAACGCTTGAAGAACGCAAAATTTGTACGAATGTTTCTACTTGGAAGCATACATCCAACACTGTTTACATGGCCAAGAGTAATCATTTGGACGTCAGCAATGCTCGTACTATTTTTCCAAAAAAATGGTTATATGATTGGATATTACAATTTAAAATTTTTATTGTTACTATACATGATCAATATTCATTATTTTGTCTGATTTTAATTCAATTGTGTTGAGTTAATCGATCGACGGAATCGGCCAAGAGGGGGTGAATTGGCAATTAAAATTTTGGTGGAAGCTTTTGAAGAAAATTGAAAGTAATTGCACAGCGATTTAGAGTGATTCGACTTTCTCAATCAAAGTCTACGTCTACTACCTTAGCTATCCACACTAAGGATTTTCCAACAAATTCACTAATTTGTTCTTTCTTTTGAGGCCAAAGAGATAACCTTACAACTCCCTCAAGAATATACCCCAATTCTTGAGAACACTCTTTCTCAAAGAGAAGATTACAAATTTGCAAACTTATAAGGAAATCCTCACAAGGTAGATTGTTTGCACAATTCTAGAACAAAGAAAAGAACACTCAAAAATTAAGACAATTGAGTACAAGTAGTGTTCTTGAAAGCAAAATGAATATTGAATGAAAAAATAGGCTTGAAATGTTCAAAGTTGAGGTTCGACGCTTTCTCTTTGATTCTTGTTGATTGTTGTTTCTTGTTTTTGATCAATGACTTCTAAGCTTGTTTAAATACACCTTCAAATGATTCTGAACGTTGGAGATGCTTAGTGGAGTCAATAGAGCCGTTCAAGTGTGAAAACAATTAATAAATTCAGTTGGGAGCGTCAGTGTATCGATGCATACCCATGGTGCATCGGTGCATCAGTGTAAAATTCAAATATTTTGACTGTTGGACCCTTAGTGCATCGGTGCACTTTTAGTGCACCGATGCATCAAGTGCATTCGATGTTTTCATAAAATCCTCAGTGCATCGATGCATGGTATGTGCATCGATGCATGAAATGCATTTGATGTTCAATTTAATTCATGGTGCATCGATGCATGGATTGGTGCATCGGTGCATCACTTTGATAAATTGATTTTAGGCTTGATTTTGGTTCAAAATACTTTATGAAAATTGTTTCAAAAATAGTTTAAGTATAAAACACAATTTTACACATTTAGTAAGGTTTGAATTTGAACTTGAAAGACTTGGAGTAATAATTTGATATTCGATTAATTAAATCGAATATACTTAGAAAATCATTTGTAAAATCTTAAAATTCATTTAAACTTAATTTGTTATATCGAAACACAAAAATGTATTCAACAAATTGTTTATATTGTTTTCAAATATTTAATAGTTTATCGATATTTAGGTGTACGATTTGCACTTGAGAGAAGCGCCTACGCGAAAGAAGTTATATTTGCCTCTGTCCTTTTAGGTAAAAATTAATTTATGGGATAAAGATCAAATAATTTAAATTTTATGATTTCTTGACACTTATATTTAATGCTTGTCTCGAAGTATCCTTACCGAATATGTCACACATACTCAGAAGACGAGAAGAAATATTAACCTTTTTCAAATTTCATACCCGCTGGATAGAGGACTTTATGCCTAATGATAATAGTCATGTTGAACATGTATATTTATATTTAAAATTTATTATTTTCTTGTATGTGGTTGACTGTGTTTTTTACCTCACATGATTTTGTAAGTATATGTGTCTTCGTATGATGAAGTTGATTATCATTGGTTTTTATTATTTGTTGATGTTCTGGAGGGACATACTTTTGTTTTGGACTCTCTTGGCGTCAATGAAGCCTGTAAAAATATTACAGAAAATATTGTAAATTGTTTATGCAAACTAATAGAAATCGTGTAGTTTTCAAATATAAATTTATAAATTTTGACTTATTGTAAGAGTTGCGTGAAGCTCCGCATATTTATGAGAGTATAACGAGAACATCCGGGTTTGCCGAGTGCACTGCTTCGGCTCCTTTCTGCATGTACTTGTACTAGTCGTTTACGTTCTGTTTTGGGCCTCTTAGCTCGTTCCTCAAGCTCATGCCGATTGCCGACCAAGTTGGTGACACCGCTGAATAAGGTAGCCATCCGAGTCAGCCCGGTGATCCATTGATCCGGGTTGAAGTACTTGTCGCCAAAGAAACCATTGTCGTCTAAATATTGCAGCACCAACCGGGTTTGCTTATGTGATTGTCAAGTATGACCATCAAATTGTTTTCCCCTAAGCTTGACACCACTGCCTGAAATGTTAATACAAATCAATAAATCAATGCATTAAAGTTAAGTTTGAGACGTTCTGTTTGTTCAGATCTAATCGGAGAAAACAAGGACATGAAATATCTGTCATACCTGGTAAGCTTTGATGAGGGGATATCGATGATGGAAGGGTTGTTGGCTTGGATTCCGGCGATGGATTTAACGAAGCCGAGTTGCTGAAACTATTGTCTAACGGTGCGGGATGCCAATGTGTCATTGGTGATCAGATACACTGGCCAAGTGTACCTAACGCAGTTGAACCCCATTGACACAATCTGTTTGACGATCGTATCCATAGGCTGCTTGCTAAGCCCTTCGGCAAGCACCAGTTCTGAGTGAGACGACCAGTTAACGCACGCCAGTTTGACGCGTCGCCCTCCCTTGCCAA